TAACACTGCTTTTGTGCTGCAGAGACACATATAGGTTATTACTAAAGATCAGCTTCTCTGGAGAGTTAGTGATTATTATATTCATCCTGAATGTTTGTTTGGTCACAGATGATTTCAGTCGAGTGAAGCTGATCTCTCTGCACAACGATGAAGGCTCAGATTACATCAATGCAAACTTTATTCCTGTGAGTAGCTCGTCAGTATCAGAGATTAGAGAAGAGTTGTTCACAGGTTACTGGGTGTCTCATTTGTGTGGTGGTGTGTGTTCAGGGTTATAACTCTCCACACGAGTTCATCGCCACGCAGGGGCCGCTGCCCGAGACCAGGAACGATTTCTGGAAGATGGTCCTGCAGCAGAAGTCTCACATCGTCGTCATGCTGACCCAGTGTAACGAGCGCAGGAGGGTCAGTGAGGGATGAATGATAGATAGGTGGGTGGATAGATATATGGACAAATGGATGGATGATTGATGTATAGATGGATGGATGATAGATGGGTCAGTGGATGGATGGAGAAATGAATGGATGCATGAATAATAGATAGGTGGATGGATGATGGATGGATGGGTGGGTGGATGGATGGATGATGGGTGGATAAATGGACGGATGGATGATGGATAGATGGATGATGGGTGGGTGGATGGATGGATGGATGGATGAATGATAGATAGATAGGCGGATTGATGATGGGTGGGTGGGTAGGTGGATGGATGGATGGATGATGGGTGGATAAATGGACGGATGGATGATGGATAGATGGATGATGGGTGGTTGGATGGATGCATGAATGATAGATGGATAGGCGGATTGATGATGGGTGGGTAGGTGGATGGATGTATGGATGCATGAATGATAGATAGGCTGATTGATGATGGATGGGTGGGTAGGTGAATGGATGGATGATGGAGGGGTGGCTAGATGGATGATGGGTGTATAAATGGACAGATGGATGATGGATAGATGGATTATGGGTGGTTGGATGGATAAATGGATGGATGCATGAATGATAGATAGGCGGATGGATTTATGGATAGATGGGTGAGTATATGAGTGGATGGATGAATGGGTGGATGGATGGATGAATGGGTGGATGGATGATACATGGATGGATGGATGCATGAATGATAAATAGGTGGATGGATGATGGAGTGGTAGGTGGGTGGATGGATGGATAAATGGATGAATGGGTGGATGGATGATAAATGGATGGATGGATGGGTGGGTGGATGAAAAATGGATGGATGGATGGGTGGGTGGGTGGATGGATGCATGAATGATAGATAGGTGGATGAATGATGGAGGGGTGGATGGGTGATGTATAGATGTACAAATGGATATATAAATAGATGTTGTGAAGAGAGTTGTCAGCACGCCGCTGTTGTTCCTGTCTGATGTTCTGTGTGTTTCTGGCTCCTGCAGGCTGATGAAACTCAAGACGTTCTGCACTTTAACTACACCTCGTGGCCGGATCACGGCGTGCCGACAGTCAACGCCATCGAGAGCATCTTACACTTCGTTCAGATTGTACGGCAGCAGGTCAACAGGACCAAAGGGCCCATCGTGGTCCACTGCAGGTGAGACTCCGACGCTGATGTGAGAGTCTGTGGTACAGGAATCACTCCAGCTACACCAGTGGTTCTCAAAATGGGGGGCGGACTTAGTGATTTGGGGGCCCGAAGCAAATTTCAGGTATGGGGCCCCAACTCAATAACTATATGCTCTTTTATGCCTAACCGTTATTTTACTCACGCTCTCTCTCTCTCATAGGTTATATATTTATTTACCCCTTCACAACTTAAGTAAATAATTAGTCAACCTGATGCTGTTCTAAAGCCATATTAGGCTACCTTATTTTTTTCGGATCACAAAAGAAGACATTATAAAAAAATGCTTGCACTTGTCCATTTAACGAATTGTAAACTTCTTTAATCTTTTTACAAAAAGGATTCAAATGTCATAAAAATTATCCCATGCAACTCATTCCATATTCCAAGTGTTCTGAGGGCATACGGTAGGGTTTGCCGAGAAACAAATTGAAATGTAATCTATTATTAAGAGAAAATCTCCAGTCATCGCATTCATGCATTTATATGAGTGCGCGGCAGTTCGCGCCGTGCACCAAGGAAAAGCGCACAAGCAAGTCATCTTGAAACAACAAGACAAATAAAATCATGACACGAAACACGATTCTTTCTTCTCTTAGGTTAATATGTCTGTTCTGAGAAAGTGCACAAAGAGTGCTCCCTCTATAATCACTAAAAGCTGTCATTCACTTCAGTTCATCGTGGTCTCAAGATGATCCGTTAATCAATGAAGCTGTCTATTTACATCGTATCTACACGTCGTTATAATGAGAGGATTCGCGAGCTTGCAGAACTCAGCACCTGATAAAAACTCAGCATTTTGAGCAGTAAGTGAACATTTGAGGCTCTCCATAAAACTAATACACACTGGAACGTTTGCCAAATATGTTTCGCCAATATCAGATGGGGCCCCCTGATTCCCCGGGGCCCTAAGCGGCCTCTTACCTCGCTCATTGGTTAAGTCCGCCCCTGCGCACGTGTACTGCAGGGGACTGTGGGTCATCAGCAGATAAAGAAAAGAAGATATAAAACCGTAAATAGCCAACAGACATAGAATGGGAGATGGATCGGTTTGTGAAAGGGCAGTGAAGAGCCATAGATGAAGTTGCACAGACCCAGGCAGGTGCTGGTCATTCAAAAGCTAAATGCAGATGTGAAATGAAGGATACAGATGAAGTAGCACTGAAAGATTACATTTGTTTGAATGCATTATTGGGAGAGCGATTGCGTGTGAATAAGTGTACCTGTTTAAATCATGCGTTCCCCCCAAAATATTTATCTAAAAGGAACAAACCAATTCCTTGAGAACTATAACTTCCCGTTGCCGTCATCATAACCTTCACATTCTTTCTGATTTGAGTGATCCATCTGTAACAAGCTAGCTAAATATGTTTAACGTGAATTCTAGCTAATTTTTCTATGCAGTTAATTTATGGGCAGTTGGCATGAATTGTACTTGTGACTGTAATTGTACTCAGAGCAAGTGAAAACCACGATGCTCCGACTTTTAAAAAATCCGCTCCTCACTCCATTCAAAATCACACCGCTCTGCTCTCTGCTCTCACTACACTCCGCTAACATACTCTGGTCCAGTGTAGACACGGTGTTAAATGTCATTGGTGAGGAGGAAAGTCGTGTCCTATGCCTTAAAACACTGGCAGCGCGGACGGCATGAAACCCACAAAAAATAAGAGAGAATAGTAATTCTCTGTATGTTATTTTTCAATGTTTCAAGTGATGCTTTTCAATTTGATGGTTTTTCCATCAAAAAAAATTTTTTTTTTTAAAAAGCAAAAACTGTTTAGTGAACTTATTTGGTAGTCTGAGGTAGGATGTGGATTCGGGGGTGGGGGTGCCAGATTATTTATAGGTTTAAAGAGGGGCGCGACCAAAAAGTTTGAGAACCACTGAGGTTCACAGACCGGAATCACTGCGGCTCACAAGCCGTCTATTGATTCCTGCTTGTGGTTTTGCTTCAGCTCTTCACCAATGTTACTGACACAGTATGATGGAACAGACACTGATGTGTGTGTGTGTGTGTGTGTGTGTGTGTGTGTGTGTGTGTGTCAGTGCTGGAGTGGGTCGCACCGGCACCTTCATCGCTCTGGACCGGCTGATGCAGCACATTCAGGAACACGAGTATGTGGACGTCTTGGGACTGGTGTCAGACATGCGCTCACACAGGCTCTCCATGGTCCAAACCGAGGTACAGAACCCAAACCAGAAACCAAATCAGATCCAGAACCAAACACTGAATCTGAACCAGAGCCAGAAACCGAATCAGATCCAGAACCAAACACTGAATCTGAACCAGAAACAGAATCAGATCCAGAAACTGAACCTGAACCAGGGGCTCTTCTCAACTGCTGTTTTATTCTAGAAAAATGTTAAGAATATTTTATATTCCCAAATACTGTATATGTCTTAAGAATGCTCTTCTGTTTTTCTTAAGATTGTTCTTAAGACAAAACTGAATAAGAATTCAAAGAATCGTCGTCAAAATGATTGTAAATAGGCTCTTAAAGTCCTCAAACGTGAGATATTTAAAATAAATGTATTGGGTTGTTTCAAGTTAATTGTTGTAATTAAACATAACAATATAACACTAATGCAACGTTATTTAAAACACAGACTTTTCAGTCTTTTTTTCAGTGAATTGATCAGTGACTAGTCAAAAAAATGTTCACAAGAAAATATTTGAGAACTTTGAGAATTTCACTCCGTTTTGAAGATTTGGATGAATCTATGGAAGCGTGTTTGCACCACTGGATAAAAAGATCATTTAGACTTTTTTGTCACAATTTATAATTGCAAGAAAAAGTGAGAATTGTGAGAAAGAAAGTCTAAATTACATGTTTTATTTTTTATTCTGTGGCAGAAATGAGAAAACAACTCGGATAGATATAATATAGATATAATAGAGATATAAAGTCAGAATATTGATATAAACTCATAATTGTTAGATTTCAAGTTAAAATTGCGGAAATTTGCTTCCATATGAATCCAGACCTGGAACGGTAAAATGACCTGTAGTGTGTGTGTGTGTGTGTGTGTGTGTGTGTGTGTGTGTGTGTGTGCGAGTGCAGGAGCAGTACGTGTTCATCCATCAGTGTGTCCTGCTTATGTGGAAAAAGAAGAAGCAGCAGACGCACACGAGTGACGTCATCTATGAGAATGTCAGCAAGTCCTAATGAAGTGAGACCTCAAAATTAATATCAATTTTATGAATATGAATAATATATATATATATAAATGGATGGATGGATGGATAGATGGGTGAATGGATGGATAGATGGGTGAATGGATGGATGGATGAATGGATGGATGGATGAATGGATGGATGGATGCTTATTTCAGTTTTAGTCTTATTTTAGTGCATCATGATGCCTGTGCATCTAGCTGGGAAAAAAAGGTTTTTACATTTTTTATTTCATTTAATATTATATGTCAAGTAACACAAATGCTGATTTTGGTTTTAGTGTTCGCTCTGTTTTCCTCCAGGTCCGACGCTCCTCATATCAGTGTTGACAGACGTGCTACATCGACACCAAAACCCAACCGAGCGGCGGCCGCGGAGGACAACCCTTCACTCATTTACTCCCATACACGCTCTTATTAAGCGGACGAACGACAGAACCAATCCGATGCCTTAAACGAGCTGCCGCATTCTCCCGTCTCCGCAGATTCCGTCCGCATCTCGTCTGTAGTGTGTGAATCTCAGGATCATCTGGATGCGTGTAAAGTGTGTCTCGTGAGTTTATATCGCACTCTGTCTGTACTAGTGTTAGTTTCTACGTCTCCGGAGGAGATCGAAGAACCGGATCCTCCTGTTGGCATGCACATGTAAACACGGTTCGAACCTGACGGCCTTTGATCACTGCCACACACACACCATCTGCTTTGGGTATAAAGGACAGATGCAGACGATCATATGTGTTGCTGTGTGTAGAGAGGCTGCGCTTCTGTGATTTCTGCTAAAGCTGGGCTTCATCTGCAAGCGTCCGGATGTTCACTGGAGCGGCGTTTGCACAGTTCGGACCGAATCGCTCGCTGCTGCTGAATCTGACCCCGTTGTGTTCGCTGAACGATGCATGCTGCAAACTGACAGACGCAAGATTAGTCTCATCTTTAGGTTTAGACTCCAGCTCAAGAGTGTTCTGTTCCGTCAGACACACCAGTGAGCTCACAAACGTCTTTACAGATGCAGAGATGTAATATCAACTAAGTGTCGAGCTGTAAATACTGAAACTAAAGCAACTCTGTATTGTGTTGGATGAACTGATCGAAACTCTCTCTCCAGAACGGGCTTCACTTGATGGGTTTTCTTTCGTTTGTGTCAGAACTCGTTTGTCTTTTGGTGCCATTCTTGTGTATCGTGTGACTTCAAGTAGCCGAGCAATCCACAGTCGCCACCACGAGTTTAATGCGTGTTCATTTGGGAAAAAATAAAGGTTTGAGTACGTGTTCTTACGAGCTGGAAATGAGTGGTTTTGTGTGAAGAATAAAAGACGTCTGTAGACCTCAGTCCACATGAGCTTCAAGCAGACTGCTGTTCCTCTTCTTGCGTCTATGCTGTGTGTATCTTTTGCAATAATTGGCTGCAAAAAGGCTCAAAATGCATATTAAATGCATACAAAAATATGTGCCAATAGGGTCAAAAACAAATGTTGTGGGGGGAAGATACTTGTTCTTGTTTTAAGCTTAAAATGGCTTGATTTTGATCATTTTTTCAGAAAACAACACTTAATATCTTCAGTCATTTTGCTGTCTTGATTTACAAAATGTTTAGATATTTACACTGAAAATTAAGACAAAAATACCGAGGAAAAACTAGGAGACCACTTGAAAACTCTCAGTTTCTCTGAAGTTGTGTTTGAGTAAAGATGTACTTTGTATGTTTTATTCTCTAAACGATTGATGACATTTCTTCATGTTCATGATGCCATGTTTTCAGACATGTTCATATTCATTTTTAGATGACACAATAGCAATGTTTTAACTAAAGAAGAATCCAGGGAAACTTTTCAAGTGGTCTCTTGCTGTAGTTTTCGCAGTGTGCTCTCTTGAAGCATCTCTTTCCTGATATATTAGTCATTTTGTCATTTTATTGCTGGACAAGCAGAAACACGTGTAGGCTATACTGAAAATACACATGTATCAGAACAAAAGCTTAAATCACATCTTTAAATAAACACATAAATCCAGCATTGCCAAAATGTCATTATGTCACAGCAAATAAAGCAACAATAGAGCGTGATTGGACCATTTGAATTGGCTGGAACTGATTTGGAAGTGAGCGCACGTGGTCAAACATGGCGGCAGGTCGCGCATGCGCATTGCGGGAATGAACAGGTGAGTGTGTGAACGGTATAGCTGTGGGACTCATAAATCTCATCGTTTGCAACGTTTTAGTGTAGCAATTAAAACATTCTTAGGAGTGTTCCAGAGAGCCATTGGTCTGTTTGATTAGTGGGATGATGCTTGATTTAGGTGGGAGTGTCTATTTGTAATAAAAACATGTTATTTTTAGTTCTGAACTTTAAGTATTATGCTAAAACCATATGAAGTGCGCTGTAGGTTTAGGAAACAAAATGCCTGTTAGCACAGTTAATGGGAGAAATTAATCATTTCGAAGCTTTGAATCAATTCAGAATGATTCACGCGCTCAAAACTACTGTGTACATCATGCAACAAAAACATGCATTTTACAAACCCATTGCAAATGTTTTATTGAAAGTGTAATATATTAAATGCAATTGCCAAGTCATCAAATGACATTAAATAAGAAGTGTCTGTATAATATCTGCTTGTTTATTCATTTGCAGGGCTTGTTTTCTTTGTTTTATGGAGGACTTGTCTAGACAGCAGAGTAAGATACTACTAATCTGTCGAACTTTTAATTGCACAAATGATTCAAACAAAAAATGTCAACAAATGTATCAAACTAATCCGAGATCAGGTAAAAACCATAGACAGCGCTGTGATTCATAACATTTCGAAACAAGTCACGGGACTTTGCGAGTTCGAAGCAAATGATTCACAAAGTGCTTCAAAAGTATCCACCGATACCTTCAAGACTTTAGTTTAAACTGAAAGTTTAACTAGGAATGGTTAATCGATGCTTTCGAAAAGCCATGAATCTGTTGTTTTGAATCAGTGAATCAGTATCGAACTGGCCGAATCACGTGAGTCAGGGGTGAATAAAGGCCTCCTGTTTTAAATATGGATATTTTTCTTGCACAAATGCATGGATTCGCTACAGAAGACCTTTATTCACCTCCTGGAGCCGTGTGAGGCACGTTTGTTACGGATGGATGCTCTTTATTGGACTTCTTTTGGACTGTTGAACAAAAACACCCATTCACTGCCATTATAAGGCTTGGAAGAGACAGGGCAATTTTTAATATAACTCCGTTTGGATTCATCTGAAAGAAGAAAGTCATATACAGCTAGGATGCCTTGCCCTTGAGGGTGAGTAAAGCATGGGCTCATTTTCATTTTTGGGTGAACTAACCCTTTAATGATGAACACGTGTGTGTTAGAGTGAGAGATAATTGTCTTTCAACTGGCCTGATTCGCTGTGTCGTCTCACAAAATACATAACATTTAATTAATGACACACACGCTTCATATTTAATGATTTGATTCTACTGGATGGATTGCACGTTCATGAAAACAGTATTTATTCCACACGTTTGCGTTTGTGTTCTCGTTGTATTGACAGCTTTGGTCCAGCAGGTGTCGCTGTTACAAGTGCTTCAGAAAAGGAGACTTAAATTATATATGTATATCATTTTTTTTTACTTTAAATAAGTGTATTTAAGGTGTGTTGGTCAGAAACATGAAGCACATCTACAGCAGCAGCTTTTACAACAATTTATTTGATTTTAGCGCATTAAAAGTGACAAAGTTATGAAATCTTTCAGGTGTATTGTGTAAGTAAACTAATTTACGAGAATAAACGTCATCAGGAATGTTCAGAAACATGTAATTGTTCAGAAAAAGTGTAATTTGGAACAGTGTAAACGATCTTATTATTACTATGAAAATGTATTGTGATTTTTAATGCGAAAGCTTCATAATTTGAACATCTTGATTCATACTTGCTTCAAACTTGAATGTGCACAAATTAGATGTCACTAACAGGCGTCTTAGGAAAGTCGGTCAGTGCAAAAACATTCAGTTCCATCCAAAAATAGCAATTCATTCGGATAGTTGTAATATCATTCAGTAGAAACAGACATTAGCATGTTGTTAACAAGATTAACATGCAGTTAACATGTTGCTAATCATGTTTCTAGAGTGATTAGCATGTTGCTAGCATGATTAGCATGAAGTTAACATGTTTCTAGCATGATTAGCATGTTGTTAACACGATTAGCATGCAGTTCACATGTTTGCTAAACATGTTTCTAGCATGATTAGCATGTACTGTAGTTAGCTTGTTGTTAGCATTTTGCTAGGATGCTTCTAGCATAATTAACATGTTGTTAGCATGTTGCTAGCATGCTCTTAGCATGATTAGTACGTTACTAGCATGTTGCTACATTACATTAATTCACTTTAGAGCTGCACGATTAATCGTTAAAAAGATTCAAATACCCACAAAAAAAAATTTGTGATTCTCAATTTATCCAGAATCGTGCAGCTCTACATCACTTCCACTTCCTGCTTTCTACTCACTTTCGGCGGGAGGCCACCCTGATAGGCGGGCCAACTGCAGGAGTAGCCAATGGGACGGCCCGTAGCGTTCAGGGCCTTTGACATCATTGGGTAGCCTGGATTTAATTAATGACAGAAGATAATGAATAAAAGTCTCCATCGTGATATGACCTAGTGTGATTATTAAGCAATCAATGCTGCCAACAGATTGCTTATGATCTACTGCTGAATATGAATGAAGACATATTTGTGACATATTTGTATTTATTCTATCATTTTTATTTTGTAATTATTGTAGATGGTTGTAAGATGCATATTTGATCTGTTTGAATGAGCAGCTGGAAGTACTAAAGCATATGTGTTTCATAATAAGAGTCCTGCTGTATTTTGGGCTTCTTTATAATGAATTAAAAGTCCTGCATCATGCATCTTTTTTCTGGGTATAATTGCTGTTTTGTTAATATCCTGTATCTGGCATTTAATTTAACGTCAACTCTCTCAGCAAGAAAAGACTAATAATGTTATTCAACACATTCAATATATAGATTTTACTATTAACGGCACAATAATCTGTTTATTGCTTTTTTTTCAAACGCATTATTATCGTAAACTTATTTTGAGCTCAGTAAAAAATATAAAATAAATATAATAAACTAAGAATGTAAAAAATATAGATTACAACATAAAACATTTTTTTAAAAATTTAATAAAATATAATATATAATAAAAATATATAAAATATATTTTACATTCATTGTACAGAAAATAGGGAAAAAAATATATATAATATAGAATTAAGTATAAAATGAAAAACATACAATACAAATAACATAGAATAAAATATTTACAAGTATTTAAAAAGTAAGTACTGTTCCTTTAAAATTGTTTTTAGAGTCGTTATTTACTTTCATTGTATGGAAAATAGGACAAATTAAAGCATAATATAGAATAAAATAAAAATATAAAATACAAGTAATGCAGAATAAAATATTTAAAAAATATATTACAAATGTTTAAATATATTACATTTTTAATATTCCATAAATATTGTTTTTGAGTTGTCATTTACTTAATTTTTCAGAGAATAGGAAAAATAGTGATATATTAGTACATAAACCAATTTCAGTACAAATGTATATGTTTAATAAAAGATGATTTGAGTGTTTGAGCATGTGCCACAAACTGTTAAAGAGTCTGAGACACATGATTTGTTCTGTATGGATATATACGGTATTATTGTTTGTTTGTGTAAATGTGATTTTAACCCCGTGTCTGTGACTGAACTGTGATGTTAAAGCGTCTCGCCTTGTTCCTGGTAGGATGAGTTTGAGTAGCAGCCGTCCAGCTTCAGCATGTCGATGCCCCAGTCGGCGAAGGTCTGCGCGTCCGTGTCGATCTTGTCCAGCGTGGTTCCTGGATATCCGCCGCAGGTGTGAGTGCCCATGTCTCCGTAGATGCCCAGCTTCAGGCCGCGGTCGTGAATGTACTGCGCCAGATGAGCGATGCCATGCGGAAACCTGCAGGAGAAACCTCAGGTGAATAGGGCCCTATGATATCCGTTTTATTTTTTTTCCCAAATTCCACTTTACCCCCCCCCCCCC